CGGGAGCACCAGGGAGGCACCGAAACGCCGCAGGCTCCGGCCCAGAGCCAGCTGGCCGCTCTCCGAGGGCCTCGGGGCTGTGCGATGGCAAAGGCAGAGGTGGAGGAGCCACATCTCCACCTGAGGCCGGCCGCCTTCCCCCCCGGGCGCTGGGGACAGGCTGCCTGGAGAGAGCAGCCACGGGGGGCTGTTTAATTCCCATCCAGAAGCACCCAGCCGAACCCATGGCGTTCACCACCATGGGAGCCTGTGATGACGGCACTGGACATGGCCTCAGCTCGCTCCCATGGAGCGCAGGACAGGGAGAGGGACGTTTGGCAGAGTTTGACACACCAGCAAATTAAAAAAAAAAAAAGAGAGAGAGAGAAGAGAAGGTGCAGACAGCACCTAGAGAAGCAGGGAGCCCAGCCAGCGTGGCCCAGAACACCGAATCCACCCCAGCCCAGTATGCTTCCACTGCTGACATCCATTCAATCGACTAGAGTCGGAGGGATTAAGGCACATGTATTTTTGTATTAACAGTCGTGAGGTGTATTTACAGCACAGTTGCCTCACCGCTCTGGTCGGTACAAATGCCAACGCCTTTCCTCTAGACATAGCCCGGCTCCTTTCCTGAGCACGGCCGCACACAAGACAGGTAACAACTGGCAAGCCCAGAGGAAGCCGGTTGGTATTTTCCAGCTCAAACATGGGACAGGCAGTCCTCAACTGTGCTCCCGTGGAGGTGGACAGCAGCAATCGTGCCTGTCACCACATCATTGGAAGACACCAATAATTTATTGAAATAAATACAGGTAGCAAACCAAATAGCCTCTGGGTTTAAACGCTACACGTATGTCAGGTACAATTTCTCTACGCTCTTGGGAAAAGCATGGTGATATGCTGATTTTTGGCCACATGAGGCTTTGCCAAGTCCGGAGCAGCCAGATATGTGCTAGAGATCGGAGGTGGAGGCTCCCAACTTGTCACGCAGTGGGTTTTGTTGTAGGAAGGAGTCCGCTTTCAGGAGGATTTCTTTCTTTGTAAGAGTGAATCTTTTTTCTTTTTTTTTTTTTTTTTGAACCAAAAAAGGTTAAACTCCAAGTCCATGTTGGCAAGCTGCAAGCTGAAGGGGGGGCTCTGTTCGCACGAGGCCCTTCAGAAGCAAAGGCTGCTCTCGCAGAGCAACCCCGGCAAACCCAGGACCGACCAGGGAAAGCGAGCCTGGCTCTGCAGCCAGAGAGCCACCGTGTCCACGCTGGGGACGGCTAGTCCCAGCCTCCGAACTGGCATCCGTGAGACCTCGGGACCCAGTGGGGACAGCAATGTGGACGCTTCGCAAACCTCCTTCCTCTGCCAGGACCGCCCCGGCTACGTCTGTCCTCGGCTGGCACAGTTCTCCAGGGCACAGCCCTCCGCCGACAGCTCCGGGGAGACTCCGGGAGCACCAAGGCTAGAGGATGGCAGTCAAGCAGGGAAATCCAGTCAACGATAACAAGGGGAGAGTCTTCAGCTCGGACCGGCCCTCGAAACTCATGTTTCCACTACTCGAATGAGAGGCAGCGGCTTGGGGCCCGTCAGCCTTTTGCTGCAAGAGAGGAAGGATTTGTTCGCACAGACAAGCTGGATGGGGGCTTGGGGGAGAAGCCTGTGGGAGAGGGTGCTGCCCCAGCCCTGGTCGGTGATGCCTCCCCCCAGAACGGCCCGCAGGAGGGACCTCTGCTCCCCTGTACTCCCCTGGAGGAGGGATACAGGAAAGGAGACCTCCCTGCAAACGGACGATAACACAACGCGCTTCCGGAAGATGAGCCCGGCATCTCCTCCCAGACTGCAGCTCCCGCTGCCCCAGGTAAGGCGTGGGCCTGCAGGTGAAGCCGCCGAGCAGGCTGGAGGGCCCGTCCTCCCCACGTACCTGCTCACATACTCAGACTTCGAGCGCGCTCTGGAGCTGTGGCCGCCCCGACTGACTTGCTTCTCGATCAAGTGCTCTATGCGGTCGTGCATCTCCAGGTTCTGCAAGAGACGGACGCACAGTTAGCAACGGGCAGCTGCGGGCACGCGGATCGCTGGCCGAGGAATGCTCCGGTATAACCTCTTGCGATGGGGCAGCTTTTTCTTGAGGGAAATGAAATCCAGCCCTGCATAGGGACTGCTTGCCAAAGGAGAGCCAGGATGGCTTGTAAGATCTGCTGAACCCCCGACACGGAAACCCACCAGCACACAATCCCCTCTCGCTGGCTGTTTCCCACCTGGCTGTGCTCACACGCACCATTCCCACGCAGAAATGAGCAAAATATCACCAAGGAGGGAAGAAAACACTGGACGTGCCGATGCAGGCTCAGTTTTTACCCAAAAAAGGAGAGAGGTTTGACACTTGTTACAATCCTAGAGGCTGGAATGCAATTTTAATTTCTGACACGCATGCATTCAGCTGCAGCTTCGTAAGCAAGAAGGGCTTCACTGCCAGAGAAATGTGCTTGAGGAGATTATTTTGGACTCAGCTGGAGTTCACAGCTGCTCCAGCAACCCCGGCTGCTTTGGAAACCATCACACCAGCTCGGGGAACCGGCACAGCCCCCGGGGCTGCGGAGGGCACATTTTCCTACGCAAAGCGGGTGTCAGTGCAAGGGAAGGGCTTTGCGGCCGGCCGCTCTGCCCGGAGCGAAGCTCATCGCCGTGAGGGAGCCCAGCCACGACCCACAGGCGTGCGCAAACCAGTCACACCGGGAGGTTTTAACACAAGGGTCTGAGCTCGGAGCAGACCCCGTGCACCCTCCGAAACGGCCCCTGCTGAGACACACCTCAGCCTCCAAGTAAGCGACTCTCTCCTTGAGCTCCTGGATCACGGCATCTTTGGCCTGAATCACCGTTTTGGAGTTCTGGAGCTGTAAGAGAAAAAGTCCACAGCAGCTGAAAACCCCCCTCGTGCACAGCTGGGCTGGAGAAATGTCTAGGAAAGAGGGCAGCTTAGCCAGGCACCCTTCTGCCTCTTAACACCCACAACATTCACTCCAAGGTCTGTATAAAAAACAATCAAAAAAAGCCTCAAATTCAGTCTGAGAATTAAGCCCCAGGTGAAGGAGCCTCCGCTCACACGGTTTGAGATTTAACTCTTTCAGCAGCCAAGCTGGGGGCACAGCACTCCTTTTTACACCCCTTTTATTACCTTCCCTGGCCCAGGGCGGGTCGTGCCGCAGCCCTTCGGGCTGTCACCCCGGGGTCAGTCCCTGCTGCAGGACAGGGCTCTGGGCTGCCTTTGAACTTGTGTGCCTTTGGTTTGCAAAGGGACTCAGCCCCACAAACCAGCAATTCTTTGCTTCCAAGCGGCTTAAGAGATTCCCCCCCCCCTTCTTTTTTTCCTCCTTTCGCCCATTTTAAGTCCCCTCTGAGTCCTCCCAGGCTCTGCCCCCCTCCATCCTCTCACCCCAGCCCCGCTCCACTCACCTGCTCGATCATCTGGCGGACTTTGCGCTGCTGGCTTTTCAGCATGTCGTCCAGATGGTGTATCTTCTCCCGCAGCATGGCCACCTCCTTCTCCAGCTGGGCCGACCTGGGAAAAGGAGAGGACAGAGTCCAGGAGCCATCAGACGGCTTCCCAGAAAGGCGGCACCCACCCAGCTATGCCCAGAGCAGCTCTTTATCAGCCAGGTCTCCTCCACAGACGCACAGGTCTTGAAATATTTTGGCTAGACGAGGTAAGGAGAGGCAGAGACAAAACCTATTCAAGCAGGAGCCACAAAGACTAGTAACCACAGACTGCAGGGACACAGGAACATCAGGAAGAGTCAGGCCACGAACAAGGCCTTCCAGAAACAAGCCATTGCCAATTAGCCCCCGGAGCACAAGGATAACGTCTGGGTGGAACGAATCCGACACTACGGGGAGAATCGGCTGCTCCCGAGCCTCCCTAAGCAGGGCAGGACCTGCCCCGAGCTCCCAGCCCGCAGCGGGGCCGCTAGAGGTCTCCGGGCATCCCGGCTCTGGAGCTCCGGATCTCTCGGAGCAGGGCAAAAACTGCAGGAGATATTTGGAGATTAGTCAGCTCTTGGGAGTAGGGTGCTGTTTTGCAAGCCAGAGAGCAAGCACGCCCTTCGCAGGAATGTGCAGTCATGCCCCAGCGAGCTGACACCCCGACCCAGCGGCGTGGGCTTGCTCTGGAGTTGGCAGCCGAGCCGGAGGCCAAGCCTCACCGGTCTTGTTCGGCGAGCTTGTCACCTTCCACGCTTCTCAGCCTCGCCAGCTCTGCTTCGCCTTCTTTCATCTTCAGCAGCAAGCTCCTGTGCTCCTGCGGCAGAGCGAGAGGCCGGGTTACGCGCAGGGAAACAAGTCGCAACACATGCTCCGTGGCCTCCGCTGCGCAGCGGCGAGCTGCGAACACCCGGGGAGCCAGGCGGGCTCAGCTCAGCCTCCCCGCTCGATCTGCGGGTTGTTTCCACGAGCATTAAATTTACATGC